ACTCCAGCTTGTGATTAAACCTGCCCAGAGAAAAAGCCATTGGAGCCTCCCATACCCCTGTGTTTTCAGAAATAATCTTTGATGTGGTTTAGAACAGGATGGCGTTTTATCACAGCAGAATTTAACTTTATCTCCGGTAGGATTCTGATCAGGCATTAGCTCCGCCTCCTCTTTTTTTTTTTTTCAAGCTAAGGACCCAAAATCCGCGTTTCTCTAACAGGGCTGCAAAAGAGGGGTGTGAGCAGTATGAGGCATGGCTACAATGGGTGAACTGTTTGGTATTTTAAGCAAAAAACTTCACAGACATGTTTTGTATAGGTATGGCCCTACAATATATTTTTCCAATATAGCATAACAGGTCCACTTTAAAGGGATAGTACAGATTTTATTAAGTGGCGGTATTGTATGAGGGAAGTTTCCAAAGTTTAAAACCTACACAAAAATCAATATCAGTTTTAGTTTACGCTTCATATTGAATATTTTCACCACATGCAATCAGACAGCCCTTATCAATGGGTAGCCACCAGACTCCATTGACAAAAACAGTCATTTAAGATTGCAGAATAAATAAATTGCTGGTTTACTGTGTGCTCGATATGTTTTTTTCATTGTGTGACTTCCATTATTACAGGTTCACTGTTGAAAAGGGCGATATGACAGGAAGGTTTATTGGTAAAAAGATTCTACTTATTGCATGCAGTTAGATTGATCGATATCTTGATCTAGCCTTTCTTTTAGGGGGCTAAAATATATTTTACTGCTGCCCATAATCCATTGAAGTGCATTGCTTAGCTCCTGTGCTGGTACTTGTGTTGGTGTCCTTTTATGAAAAATGTGGGCTTGCCGACTGTAGGTAAATAATTATCTCATACAGTCCGCAATTCAAAATCCAAAGTCTTTGTAATAGACTCTTTGGTTAACTGCACAAATAAGCTTCTAGAACCAAAATTGTGGCCTTACTTTTCCGTTTTGTGACACTGTCAACATCTTTCCTTGGGGCAGGTTTCATCATGCGGTTGGCATAGATGTTCCTATCATCTAGTTCTCTCTCCTTCTCCTAAAAAGAAAAGGAATCAACAAAGTGAACATTTCGTACAATGTTGCTTTTTATACCAAATCAAAAAGGAAAATACAGTTTGCCTTAGTGGGTATTCCAAAGTATATTTTTTGTGTTTGGACCTTGAGTTTATTGGTCAGTCGTAGCAGCTCCTCCTGCAGGGTCCGGATCTCGTCCTGGACACTGATGGTCTTCTTCTTCTCTGCAGCCAGCTGCCTCTGGTAACTGCCGCTTGTTAGCTCAACGCTACGCTCCAGCTCCTTCACACACACACACACACACACACACACACACACACACACACACACACACACACACACACACACACACACACACACACACACACACACACACACACAGAAATGTGAACATTGTTTACGTGGTGGAGGCTTCAAATGAATCCAGTAGGTTTGCTGCCTCGACCTGCACTGTATATTATTTTTTATCTTTGTTTGTTTATGTATTTTTGAATTGCGCAAATAAACAAAAACATAAATGTACAGAAGTATGACAAAGTGTAATATTAAAAAAAGATGTGTGTTAAAACAATGTATTATAACGCAATTCTATCAAATCTGAACAGGTGTTTTTTTTTACTGTGGTGTAAACAGCAGGCAATAATATACATTACTTCATTTATTTACAGATTTTGTAAAAATGTAAAACCTGATTTATTTAGGCAATTTCGCTTGAATATCTACAACACAGAGGCCTTTAAAGTCCTGTACAGATTAGAGTTAGTAATAGAATTACATTCTAGATAAAAAACACAGCAAAGTAACGCGTAACTATTAATAAATAAGTAAATAAATGTACCTTAATCTTGCGTTCTGCCTCTAGGGCCCGGGTCTTCTCCTCCTCTAGCTTGCGGCTGAGCTCGTCTCTGGCTCCTAAGTCTCGCTGGTCGACGAGCTTCTTCAGCCGCGCGATGGTGGCCTGACTCCTCTGCAGCTGCTCCTCGCTGTCCTTCATCCGGCGCTCAGCGGCCCGCTCCCGCTCCTGGGTGCGTCTGAGCCGCTCGCGCAGCACGTGGGTGTCGTTGTTGTGCCGCGAAATCAGCTGGGAAATCTCACTTTCTGTGTCATCGTAGCGCTGCAGGGCTTTATCTTGGCGCACCTGAAGCTGAAGCATGGAAAAGCGGACATTCGAATTCAGGACACCACAGGTATTAATAATGATGAGTTAGAAAATGTATATTAAGGTAAAGGGTTATGGGATTGATTTTCCAACAGAGATGTGTGTTTATTTATTTTGTATAGGATTCCTACAGCTAAAGCGAAATTAGATTTCATGTTTAACACTTTTCATGATGCAAAAAAACAAATTTAAACAAATTAGATATTAGGTATTTTTCTCTTTTAAAGATTTTTTTTGAGAATGCAACAGCAGAAAAAAAACATTCATAAAATACTAGTTCCCATTTCTTTTGTAAGACTTTTTGAGAGATTGATTTAAGACATTTCAACCTAAATGTAGGTGTTAGATGATTTAATCAGGGTCTTTTAAGATTTCTTAAAGATCCATACTTGCCACTAAAATCCGACATTGTTCACTTAAAACTCTCAACCTTTCCTGGCCTTATTTATTTAACCTTGACCTAACTAGAGTGGTAAACCTACCTGTCTGAGAACTCGATTTTCCTTCTGCAGCTCATCAGTGCGCTGTTGCAGCTCAGCGAGTGAGTTACGCAGTTCATTGATCTTGAGCAGGCGGGCTGAGAGCATCCTCTTGGTCACCAGGTCCAGGTCTTTGGGAGGCGTGGACTCCTTGCTTTGTGAACGCACTCCCCTGCGCTGATGCTGGGTCAGCAGGTGGCCACCTGGACGCTGTGGACGAGAAACACCCCGACGCCCCACACCTCCTGCAAAGATAGAGGAACACACATGATGTAGGGATAAAGACAGTAAACATTTTGACAGGACCATACTCAAACAAGTGCACTGGTTTGACAGGACCATACTCAAACAAGTGCACTGGTAGTCGTAAATGGAAAATAACGTTGAGGCTGAAGACTAATCGACATACCGTGTTTAATTTCGTCGTAATGTACAATATTTAATTTCCCATTCTGTTCTTGTATATATCATATTCTATTTACATGTATAGACTTCTTGCACTATTTTTTATTTGTATTTTATTATATATGTTGCATCGTTGGAGGAGCTCGGGTAATAAGATTTTCATTGCCATTTCTACTGTAGCTTATGTGCATATAACATTAAAACCTTTGAATACAATTGTACTTATTGAAACATAATTAGAAAGTGAGGAGCTTTTAAGATTCAAATAGAACTTCTGAATGTAAGATTTTTTTGATGTGTAAAGCTGGAGTATAGTCTTGTCATTAAATGACCATGTTCAAATCTGCCTTATACTGCCATCACCTGGACATTAAATCCAATGTAGCCAGTAAAGGTTACAAGATGAGTTTGAACATATCCTTACTTTACATACCTGTCTTGAGGGGGCTGTTAGAAATCCTTTTTGAATGCACCATTCTCCGAGGAGTAGCAGTTGGAGTCCGGGACCGGGAGTATGGTGAGTTAGAGCGCTCTGAGGGAGACTCATTGTCATAGTCGTCTGAGTAAAACGACCCACTACTTCTTCGTCCCTCTCCCTCTGATAACTGGTCCCGATCTGGATCTGAACGCCAGGTTCGGGTTTTCGATCTACTCTCAACACAGCTTTCTTTTTCCACCTCGTCCTTGAGATTGTCCCGGGAGTTATTTTTGCGTTTTTCGAAGTGTGATGATCGGGAATCCTTCTTTGGACTGCGGAGTGACTGACGACTTTGATCGACATCACGGTTGTCCTCATACGGGTCGGTCATGTTTTCAGATTCCATGCTGTCACTCGGAGAAGAAATGCTGTGATGAATTCAAACACAAGGGAAAAGAAACATGTCAGACTTTGAACTACATAAGGATTATTTTCTAAATTAAAATGTACCAATAACAAACTATAGGATGTGTCTTACCTGATTTATCATTTAACATTAAAAAAATCTCCTGGTAATCTGATCTCAACTATTTAACAATGCAAACCATGAATCCAAACCACTTATAAGAACATAGTCCAACTGCGTTCTCTCATGATTTTCTGTATTGTGTGTCTTGGTCACTAAGCGACAACACACAAGAGGTGGAAGTTTCCATGAGGCTGAATGATGCATGATATCACTACCTTACAGCACTGCTGCTACAGACAACACACTAACATGCCTCTGTCTGCCCTGGTGACTTATTAAACAAGCCAGTTGATTATTTCTTACTGGAATATAAGGCTTGTAAACTTGTGTTCAAAGAAAACAGAAAAAGAGGAACATTTACAATTCATAACTTTTTATTTGGCTGATTGTAAATATGGTGTTGCATATTACATAATGCCATGTAATAACATGCACATATATATTTATTGTATGCTGAGACTATTTTGTATATATATATATATATATATATATATATGTAGAATTCTTCTGAGAATATTTTGTGAATAACTGTATTTATATCAATTAAAATGTTGATCTTTTAAAATTGCCTTGTTTTAGTATTTAAGGACAAAAGCCCATGCCACTTAAGATTTGTTTTGTTGATTGTAAGGGATCAAACAACCTTGAGTAGATTAAGGAATAAATATTAAAAACTAATAGCCAACCATAATATTCTTATATCATCATGCAGTCATCTGGCCCTTTCATCTGCCTGGACAATAATAGAAACACTTGATGGATAAGTACCTATGGCAACAACAGTACACACACAGCATCATTACAATAATCAGAAAAAAGTGTAAATGAGGGTAAAAAGCTTTGTTAAATGAACAAACAGACGAAAAACTGTTAACAAATAAATTAAGTGGCCCTTACATAATGTTGTTCACCTCTAACATTTAGAAAGAAATGGATACATAGATTAAGCAAAATAATTTAAACGGATTTACTAAACAATTTCAGTTTGTTTAATGTTTTTGATCACACAAAGTGATTTAATAATAATATTAATAGTGATTATCAGCATCAGAGTATGTTACATCACTCACCACCGAGGTTACATTACATCCCCATCATCTCCTGTGGCATCTTCTACTTCATCTTGCTATTGTCAGACTGTCCCAGGAGGTCCCTAAACATAAGTTGAGGACACATATATATGCTTTATTAAGCTCTCAATAAAAAAAAAAATAGATTCGTGTTATTAAGGGCTTACTATAGCGGTACAATAAGCGTCCCCAGCCTGCTTTCAGTGACGGACAGATAGGATTAAAGTAGGCCGTCTGCTGTTGACAGGTGTTTGTTGCTAAACTGCCTCTCAGGTAAATAGTTTAGTTGCCTGAAGCCAACCACACACTTCAGTGGGCTCTATACTCCACATTATCAAATAAACGCGAATACAAAAGGAGAATAGTTGTTGAGCTTCCAAACAGCATTTTAGCGTAACGCCACTAGCAACCGTTAGCCCAAAAGAGGTTGTATAAAGCTAACGGTGAGAGATGACCGACTTGTTAATGCTAGCTCATTATGCTAGCATAGCAATACAAAACTACCATCAGCTGGTGGGAGGTTTTAACGTTACCCTTCGGCGTCTGCTGGCACCAACATGTCCTTTTGTCCCGCGTGTTAATATTTTAAATCTTGTTGGCTAGTTTACGTTTAACTTTGCAAGAAGAAGCAATGCTCTGCTTCTTGTTTTAAGACTCAGCCCGCTAATGATAACGACGTAGCTTCAACTTCTAGCAAGCTAGCATTAACTTAAGCTAATTTAGCTACCGCTTGATTTCAGCATAGGATATATAAAGCATTGACGTCCGTCCTTGATGAACACAGTCATGACTATGTTTTTTTTAATAATGAGCCGTCCTGCATTTATCCAAAATAAAACAGCAAGACGGAGTTTTCCCGAGCCAGCAGCTCAGATAATGTTATTATAGTCCACGCCTTGAGGTTTGCTCCAGTCCCTCCGCTGACGCTGTACCATAGCAACCGCAGTGCTCCCTGCAGTAACACTTTACATCCAGAGGGGCGCTGTAGTGCATGTTGTGCTCTGGATACAATGTGATTTGATTGGAAATAACTCAAACCTTGCTACTAACGTGTTTTATTCATGCAGTGCAATCCATATTTTATGTTATAGTATATTATAGGCTACTATTGTATTTACTTCATTATTCAAATGTAGGGGACACTCAAACTGAGTTATTAACTTAAAAGCACATGCGGACTTTAATTGTGTCATTTAAAACCTCAGCTTTGATCAATACTATAATAATTTAATAATCCCACAGCAAGGTTGGATTTACGCACAAATTGAATTTTGTTCTCCAAAAAACAACAGCACTGTTTGTTTATTTTGAAAACTGTGACCGGAAGTAGGCTTCAGTGTTAAATTTGATGTCTGTTGCAGCTGTGCGCTGAGAGCCACAGTAGCAGAAGCGCACGCTGTGTTATTACCATGGCTCAGTTTAAATACTGGAGACGCGTGTCTACTCTTTTCTAAAACACAGCCTGTAGTTGAAAGTCGGAATTCGTTCTATTGAGAACAAACGAGATCGTTGCCATCAGTTTGTCTATCGTCTATCATCTGACATTCATTTGGGATTAAAATGGTCATCAAGGTTTACATCGCCTCCTCAACTGGCTCTATCGCGGTGAGTGTTTGCAAAATGTGTTTTAAAGCTTGTTGACAGTTGCACATCAAGGCATATCACAAAGGAGTGTTGAAATATGACTTGCCAAACAGTGTTTATTGCCATAATGTAGCCACGTCGTACTGTGATTAGTGCTGTTCACAAGCAGTGAAAGTAACCATTCAGACATCAAATCTAAAAAACATTTTTTATTGATTTTTTTTATTGTCAGGATACATTTATTTTGTATAATGTGTGATGCATGTGTTAATTCAGCCTGTTGCATTTTTGGCAAATGCATTTCCAGAAATATATATTTTTAATTTTAATAAATTGTATAAGAATTTTTATGTACAGCATTCTAAATTTTAATTTAGAAGCTTAATAAATAACACATTCTTGTTAGAAAAAAGTACCTGTTTGGTGAGCAAACAACAGCCCCCCAGGATGCACAGGTGTGGACAAAATAACAGGAAAACTACTGTGTATTAAACTGACTATGTTTGTCATAGTGAACTATATGTAGAAGTGCACCTCTCATGGAACATTCCTTATGTCCTTTTATTCGTGTTGTGAGATGTTATTTTTTTTGTTAACCATGGTTTGTTTAACCCTTAGGTTAATCTTGGGTGGGGTTCATACTTATGAGAAAGCCATTTCCTGTTGATATTGAGCAGTGCAGAAATTAGTAATTGAATAGTCCATCAACAGAAATGTCTAGCTGCTAAAATGGGAGTTTTTTTTAACAGATTTTAATAATCGTGTTTTGAATACAACTGGATTTTGGATTGATCATCAGACCGTAAAAGCACTTAAAGAGTTCACTTTTTGCTATTGATAGCAATGAATTGATGAACAAAAAAGAAATTAACCAATATGAAAGTCATTATTTGCAGCCCTAGTTCAGTTTGTGAATGCCAAATGTCATTGAGAAAGCACATCTGATATTTAGTACAGACAGATTATCAAACAACACTCTTGTGTGAATGCTTCAAGCCTTAGGTAATGGGGAAAATGAGTAATATATTTATTTTAACACGCTCCATCTCTATAAGAGAGCAGCACAATCTTTCTGCGTTTACAAATAAGTTATTTTTAACCCTATGACACATACATTCAGAGCACACTGACTCTCACACACACACAAAGCACAGTCGTGCACGCCTGGCTGAATAGGTCCACCATTTGGGTCAGTTATGTGAGTGTTGAGCTCATGTGAATGCAATTTACTGCAAATGCTTTTAAATTGAGTTACAAGTGATTGAATATAGAGGGAAGGTGGCACTGGATCCCTCAGCTGGTTTAAAGTCAATTGGACATGTGAGTAGAAAGAAATACAGTAAATAGTGTTAGATAGACATTCGGGGAATAATACTGTTAAATATAGAGTCAACTCTATAAAACAGACAAGTGCAACAGAAGTTGGAATATGTGAACAGCAATAAGGGAGAGTAATAATGAAAACACTCCAGTGAACCGATAAAATGAGCAGTTCACAGTTTAACAACAGCAGATTAGTGGAGCAGAAATCACCAGAATGAATGAAGTGCAAATTAGGTTATCCCTCCCACCCATCCGTGGATATGTGCCAAGTTCTATATAGTGGTAACGTGTGGAGGGGGGGGGG